TTTTTTTCCCCTACTCCATCCTACTCTTTCCTTGAAAGAGGTCTTGGGTAAAAATACGAAAAAAAAAAGTTTGAAGATCTGTTTGCATAATAATACTTGAAGTTATGTTATTAGAGGTGGTCACATCAAGGTGTTGGGGTCTCGAAGCTGTTACAAACCCTGGAGTGGTAGAAGGGATGGCATTCTTTGCCTCTGTAAGGCAGTCATATTAATTTGCATGATTTTTGTCCCCTTTTGAAACACAGAGTTTCTCTGCTTCCTTGTTTCTCTAATTGCAATACTCCTGGATTTGCTTTTCCTTAGCCTCAAGTTTGGGGTATAGCTTTTGGCTCAAGTGCAAAGCTTCCCTGCTCCTTTGGAGTTCCCCAGGGGTCAGAAAACCTGCTTGCTCTCGCGCGCTCTCTTACCCTCTAAAACACACGCTCAACAACACAGTTTCCCAGGGAGATTTCTCTGATGGCCAAACTCTCTCAAAGAACTTTAACCTCTGACTGCTTGCCCTAGGTTCTCTCCACCCCTGAGATCTGGCTTTTGCCTAACGTAGAGTTAAAAAGTTCTGTTCTTGCCTTTAACTTTACAGCAGGTGTGTCCTAAAGGCTATTCCAGGATGTCCATTTTTGTTGCTGCTTTGGGTTGGAGATGGTGCAGAATGGGGCTTGGGAAGAATAAGACAACAGCAACACACACTCACGTGCCATCTTCTCAAAATACCTGCTCACAGAAACGTGCCCTCTCCAGCGGAAGGGATAACCCTTGCTGGGAGAATACATTTTCGTATATTCCTAGGCTTACTTCTGGCTTCTACAATATTCTTTACTTGCAGCTACGTCATGTCTTCCTGCCCAGATTCTCTCCCTTTGGTGATAATATAAAAATAATAATTTTAAGTGACATTTTTGAGCACTCACATACGCCAGATTCTGTGTTAAGCACTTTATGCATATTATTTCATCTACATCTCTTTACAGGCCCAGGAGTAGGTGGTGGTGTTTCAGTTTTACAGATTCCAATCCCAGGATTACCAAGGAATGAGAAGAAGAGTCTGATTTTGAATCTACGTCTTTCTTACTCAGTTCACATGCTCTGATGTTTATAGTTTTATGATTATCCTTCCTCTGTTCAGCTGTGGCTTATAACTCTTAATCTTTTCTAACTGAATAATAGTATTGAATGATATTTAAGTGATCTGTATGTGCTCAACTTCACCTTTAAGAGAAAAAATAGAAAAAACAAACAAAAAGAAAAATAAACCAACAAATTTACCCAATATTGAACAGCAGTTTCATACTGTTGTTTTATCTGCCAGTCGTTCTTTTGAGGCTGTGACTGTTATATAGAGGAATGAATTCATTACCCCTTCTGCTTGTCTCAGTTTCCTGGCTAAGCATGTCTCTATGCTGAATGTAGTTCAAACAGACCCTAACCGAAGTCACTGACTTCATCCAAGGCTCATCAAAGGAAACCCCAACAAGAAAAAACACAGGGAAGAAAACTGCTGTTAAAGAGTGGTTTCCAGTATGGTACTCTCCGTAGGGATTTTTTAAGGATAATTTTGACCAGGCTTATTCGCTGATATCAGTTTCATCATGCAAGCCATGACCCTTTTACCATCACATATGCAATATCAGAGAAGGGACCTTAAAAGCCATTTGGAACAACAAAAACCTCAAAGTATTAAGTTATGAAAACTCTGGCAGGAAGAAGTTAAACAGTATATCCAACAAGACTAGAATGAGTTACACCAGCCCCATCCTGTGGGTGGTGGGCAGTGATCAGGACTAGGACTTAATGCCTGACTTACAGACCCAGCTCTGACATTCCCATCTGTGTGTTCATGGGAAAGAGATTTCATGTTGTCCATTCACAGATACTGAATAAAATAAAAACCTCCTCTTTTCTTTTTGTTGCTCATAAGTTAACTAATACATGTAAACCTGACTTCTAAGATACTAATATTATATAAATATAAGGAATTATGTATAAAATATAAGGAATTATAATTGTTAGTATTTCATCTATACAAGGCTGCCTCTTTTTACCTTTGCTGTCTCTTCTGTCTAAATTCTTAAACATCCAACTATCTGATGCTTCTCTATCTGTAGTAAAGCCAATAGTTTTGTAGCTTTGACTTTTCTTGCAGATGTTTTCCTGAACTGCACCATGCTCATAGGGCATATGCTTGGGTTAAGAGTCCAAAAAGGTTTAGACTGTGCAGGCAGGGGATATGTGAGCTTTTCTGTTACAAGGGAGAAAGAATTCTCTATTTGGATTCCTCACAGCTTTCTTCTTCATTTTCCCAATAATCTAACAACTTCTATATCATAACAATGGTGTATAAATAGGCTTGTGAGGAAGGGCTAAAAAAGAGCTTGATTGTCTGTTTATGGGTACATAAGTGTAAACAGTGTCCCACGTGGGAGAGGCAGTTGCTTATCTCCCCACTCGGAGGTTTTTGTGCCCGCTAAATGTGATGGTAGTGAAACCGAGATGTGATGAGTGAGACTAGCAGTGTCACACAGGGGTTAAAATTACAAGCTTTAGCTAAAAACATCCTGGGTGGAATAAAAGCTCTGAGAATTACCAGCTTTGTGACTTTGAGCAGATTATTTAATCTTTCTGAGTCAGGTTTTCCTCATGTTAAAAATGGATACAGGGATGTGTCCGTGCAGGTTCATGAGTTGTAACAAATGAACCACTGTGGTGGGAAAGGTGATAATGGGGGTGTCTGTGCATGTGAGGGGCAAGGGGCTTATGGGAAATCTTTTTCTCTCAGTTTTGCTGTGAACCTCAAACTGTGTAAAAATGTCTTCAAATAATAATAAAAATGTGGATATACTGTTTTTACTAATCTTACTAGGGTTGCTGTGAGAATGATGTAATTATGGATATATGTGACGAGATCATGATGTTTTTCAAACACAGCTGCAAATTCTCTGACACACCTTCCATCCAGACCTGGAGTGTATACCCTTTCTCCTCAAACTTGAACAAGACTTTGTGACCACCTGGACAAACAGAATGCAGCAAAGGAACACAGCAGGGCTTTCTGCTCTTGGATTCTGAGAACTCCACCTGCCAGGTAAGAAGTCTCACTAATGCAAGTTCACCATTTGGAGAGATCCCAAAGAGAGAAATAGAGACAGAGACAGAGAGGTGTCTGAACTCCAGTTGGTCCAATGCCCAACTTCCAAGTCTTCCAGCCCAGGTACCATATGAGTGAAGAAGTTTTCAAGATGATTTCAACCAGAACCATCGTCTGCCTGCAACTGTCTGAGAGACCCCAAGCATGAGCCACCTAACTGAGCCCAGTCAACCCTCAGAAGTGTGAGAAATAATAATAATAAATAACTGGTGTTTAAGGCATCATTTTTGTTATACTAGGACAGAGCTTAACACAGAAGGTATTGTTCTCTGTACACTTAACTCATTTAATGCCCCCAGCTCTATTATTCGTCCCATCTTACATGCTGGACCATTGATGTATAGAGAAGTTAAATGCATCAAGTAGGGTGTTTCTGTGTAACCAGTACTCCCCAAGTCTAGTCGTGTAAAATACCAATTCTGATCTGGGTTTGGCTAAACTGATCTTAGTTGGCCCCATTCCTGCATCTGTAATTAGCTGTCGGCTCACTGGGGGCTGGCAGTCTATGATGGCCTCACATACACTGTGACCACTGACTAGCTGTACCTGGGGATACTGGGGTGATGGAGCCACATGATCTCTCATCACCCAGCAGGCTGGCCTAGGCTTGTGCAAATGGTGGTGGCAGCTGTCCAGGAGAATAAGCGAAGCATTCAAGGGCTCCTGAGCCTAACTTTGGGACTAGTACAATGTCATTTCTACTGTATTTTGTTCATTGGAGCAGATCACAAGGCCAGTCCAGAGCCACGGGATGAGGAAAGTAAGAATCTGCCCCTTGATGGCAAATCATGTTGCAGAGGGTGAGGATACAAGGAGGGAGATTCTTGGGGCCATTTTGCAATAACAGGTCATAACATGTAACCTGCTCATTTTAAACAGGTTGTAAGTGACAGAGTCAGGATGTGAACCCAGGCAGCAGGGCTCCAAAAAGCATAATTTTTACCACTACACCACACTGCCTCTGAGTATGTGGTAACTATTATTAGTTCTTGGTGAAAACCACTTTAAAAGAAAGGGGGTGGGGAGGGTTAAATTGGGAGCTCGAGATTCGTAGATACTAACCACTACATATAAAATCGATAAACAACAGGGTCCTACTGTATAGCACAGGGAACTACATTCAATACCTTATAATGGCCTATCATGAAAAAGAATATGAGAAGGAATATATATGTATAAATGAATCATTTTGCTGTACATCAGAAGTTAACACAACATTGTAAATGAACTGTACTTCAATAATAAAAAGAAAAGATAGATTGGCCCTTATATGAAATCAGGATCCCAAGGCTTTCAGAGTGTGTTAGAGCAGAGAGTTTGAATCTTTGCTTAACCACTTACCAGCTCTTTGTTTTGGGGTCCATTACTCAAACTCCTCGAATCTCAGTGTCCTCCTATGAAAAATGATAAGGGGCAGTCAGTGCTACTGTACCACGACATATGCATTTCATAAAATCACTGTGCTATGCAAAATCACACAATAAAAACCACAAGCTTGGGGGAAAGATAAAGTTAGAGGCATAACACTACATCATCAGTGACACCATAAAACAAGAAGAGAATCCTTTAACAAAAAGGGCAGTCCAATTTTACATGGCAAGCAGTTAAGAAATACACAAATGCTACAATAAATATGGCCCTTTATCAGGTAAAAGACCTGGAATTTGCTGTGGAACTGGGTGTCAGAAGGGTGCAGCTTGTGAGTTATCTGAAATTGGAAGGACATTTGTGCCACTGGATGTGGATAAGCCGACTCCTAACGTGGGGAACGGAGGCAGCTGGTATGTGTTTGCAGCACGTGCACGTATGCGCTCTGGGTATTCACAGCAGGTGGTTTAGATGGTTTCAGTGGACTGAAGGTTTTGTTTTCGCCTAGAGGTTCCCGCAGACCAAATTGTGTATAAGCAAACAAATTCGCATTGTGTTCAAATTGTTCCTTAATATATCAGTCATTTTGGAACAAGTTAGTGTTTTCAAAACCATTTAGGCAGAACTGACTATGGAGTTAACATACGTCTAGCCCTTACTACCACTCAATAAATATTTGCTCATTGCTATTAGAGATGAAGACTCATTGAATGTAAAAATAAAAAAAAAAGACATAACCTATTCAATGGCATTAAGGTGTGTGAAGAGATAATGTGTAGGTGTCCAGCAACGAATCTAGAAAAAGGAAGGCCAGTGAGCAGGAACTGTCAGTTTGTTTCCAGCACTCGACAGAGAATCCAGGTGTCCTGCCTTCCTGGCAGGTAAATCTCAATTTGGAGATAGATGTGGCAGGCCTAACGACACCGTTTCTTAAGGTCATCCAACTTCCTCCTCCTGCTCCAAGTCCACGCTCACCCAGCAAACTTCAGATTATGATTTACCTCCTTGCGTCCTTAGCAGGCTGCGTTCTCCTGCTGACATAAATGCTCGGAATCACTTGGCAGTTACACTTCTTAGTGTAAATCGCTAAATTGGCACTCTGCTTTGTTCATCAGTCTCTTATAAATTCCCGGGGATTAATCAGCTCCAAGCACACTGACACATTCTGTTTTCTGGATCTGCAAAGCTGAGAAGCAGATGCTGGAATGCCAAGAAGTTACTGGGCCCTGCCAGCTGCCTCCCCAGATGACACATTTGCCCCTGGAACTGCATCGGATCTGGACCCACATACATTTGAGCACATAAAAGGTAGGCTCTGTCCAAGGTCCCATCTCTTGTGGAATTAGGACCAATTTCTTTGTTCCTTAGTAATTCCTTTCAATAGCTTTGATCTGAACTTCAGGCATAGCTTCTTCACTTTTCACACTCAGATTTTGGAGAACTGACTTTGAATGAATTTGCACCTGCAAATGCTTATTTTTCTCTTTCTTCAGGGGGTAAATTACCTTAGAAAGAAAAAGAGTATGACATTCCGCTGTCTACTCTATTCCTTCCCTATTCATTTTGAACCAAACCTGAACTAACAAAAGCACCCATGATTAGTGTCATCAAAGACAGAACCTGGAGAGAAACTGACTCTTACTTTTGCCATTGCAATACCATCCGACGTCTGACTCCATGACTGGGCCTGAAACGCACCACCGGGATGCCAGGTTTGCAATTGTTTCTGTTACCAATTGAGAGAATTTGCCAGCATTCCCAAAGGATGGGTACATACTAGTATAAGCAAAAAAAAAAAAAAAAATTCTGCTAAAAGATGTTTGCAGCTATTTGTTGTAGTTTGAAAGCAAAAATAATTGGCCAATTAGGTAAATTGGAACCATGGCCATTCTCTGAAATCTTTAAAAATTTGTCAGGTTCAATATGATCAATACCTGTTATCTCATAAGAACACAACATTTAAACTAATTCAATTGTAGTTTGCATATTTCTAGAACAAAACACCTGTCTTCTATGGTTGCATGCATTTTCATTGTCTTTAAGTGTTCACTTGGTAACTCAACGATTTGTTCAACTAACATTTATTAAGTGCATTCGTTGAAATCCAGGCACCTTGTTATGTGTTAAGGATCTAATAACTGTTCGATCGTTGGCCTCTAAGCGCCTGATGTTGGCTTGAGGCAAAATACAAATAAGTGGACACTTATACAAATCATTCATTCACTTATTCAGCAAATCTGTATTAAGCACCTAAATGCCAGGGATTATTCTTAACATTGGGAATGCAGCAGTGAACCCAGGATACGAGTTCATTGCTTTGGTAAGTTTGCATTGTAGGAAACAGTCAATGAATAAGTAAACAAATAAACAAGATCATTTCACACGGCCATGAGAGCTATGACTAAAGTAAAGCAGGGTGGACTGACACACAGAAGGATGCCCTGTGGGGAGCAGTACTGTAGCTGGAATCGTTAGGAACAGCTGCTCTGAGTAGGAGGCATCTGTGCTGAGATCTGAGTACCAGGAAGTGGCCAGCTGTGAGGATCTGGAAGAGGAGTTTTCCACACAGGAGAGCAACAATTTCAAAGGCCCCGAGAGAAGAACAAGCTTGTCGGAGACACCATAAACAAGCCAGCACAGCTGGGGTAGGACTGTAGGGCCTGGGGTCCTGGATGTAGGCAGGGACCTCAAGGCCACAGCAAAGCATCGGAATTTTATCCTCAATATGGCATGAGCTGCTGGGGGAGGGGTGCAGTTGTTGAACACTGAAACAGCCTGACTCATGTTTTAAAGTAGTTATGCTGGCAGTTTGTGCAAGGCTGGAGGGAAATCGACAAGGTGGCTTCTGCTATAACCCACAGGGAGACGGGTGACAGCAAGCACAATCTCAGCAGTGACTCAAGTTACGATGTGATCGGGGGCATAAGACTGTATATAAAAGGAGCCATGAGTGCGCAGATGCAAGTGGGTTTAATTCTGCTTTGAAAGGTTGGGAGTTCATCAGGAGGGGCTTGTAGATTGCTGCGTGGGAGACTCCAGCAGGGACTGGCCAACTTCTGTGGAGGATCAGAGGGTAAACATTTTAGGGTTTGAGGAATATATAATTGCAACTATTCAATTTTGTTGTCAAA